TGGCTATCGAACGAAATTTCGAAAATAAATGCAGCCGTACAAGTTGCTGCTTGTATACATATTGTAAGTATTATTAATGCACATGAGTTTTTATAGGGTAAGCCAATAAATAGTTAATTGCATCCTAAATGCATTACATATATATTATAGAAAATACTAAGATACGATTCGTAACTAAGCAGCCAGTTAGGTAAAGTAAGTAAAATTAGCCCGTGCAGAAGAGAATTACTAATTGCTGTGTCAGGAGATAAATTGAGATTCTGGCAGTTGCCTGGCAGGACTTTCGAAATTTCTGTCTCACTTTAGCAGTTAGCATGTGCGTTCGCCTCGATTCTTTTGTGTATCTTTAAACGATGTCTGGTTATTTCCGGGCGTCTGCTGCTGGCGTTTACTTTTAGTTTTAATTTGACAACCCGCATAATTTTGCTATGATTTGCACTTCTTAATTAATTATTTTTCGCTTTCGTAACTAAATGCGGATCAGAGCTGTGTCAGCAAATAAGCGACAGACCCACACCCACACTCGCACACGTGTGTCTGGCAACCCTTCAACGCCAGGGCCTGGCAGCAAAACAAACTTCGACAAAAACTTTCTCTTTTTTTCCGGCATATGTAAGAGGCGCTTATTCTGGTAAAATGTTGTGTCGAAGCAGACATTTGGAATTGGTTTTGCCCAATTTCTGAGAGATTCGCAAATGCATTTGGCATTTCTTAGCACCTTTGACACATGCGGCGTATGCGTAATATGCGATGCCAAAATCAATCCCCGAATGAAAAGGCTTACCGTGCAAATTCCCAGCTTATGGCAATTGACAGGGAACGATGCAGACATGCCAACCATCCCTTTTGTTTTATTTAAACAAAAGCTTCTGCTTTTTTCTAATATTCGTGTATATGTACGTGCAGTCAGTGCTCTCCACGCCACAATTGTTAACCTGCCCTGGCCCCTGCCCCGTGCACCCTCCCCCTGCCCCTAACTCTGACGCGGCGTCTGCCTCTGCCCCACCTGCCACTCGATGGCATCTGTTCCGTGTCAATTGCATTTAGCTAGCAATGCAAATTGGCGGAGCGTTCGCCATTTTCTGTTCGACGGCTGCTCATTATTTAGACGCTTAACGCACGTCCCCTTGCATTAGGTGATTAAGTTTTGCAACGCCACCTGGCGGTCGGAATTGAAATTCGCTTTGTGCGTTGCCCTCGCTGCCCTGATGGACGTTTTTGTTATCGCACCCAATTGTTGGAGCTGCGCTTTTCACGCACTCCAATTTCGACTGTTATCCCGTACTGAAGGTATTTTAATTTTATCACAAAATGTGCTCTTGATAAAATATGCGGTATATGCATAATTGTGTTGAGAAAACTGTATTGTAGAAAGGCATTTCTTCTTCGAAATACTATTTTACTTTCATTTATATCCAGACAGAGTTTTACTTTGCTCCATACGGTCTTTCAAAAAAGTAAATCTCCTTATGAACAATCCTTCAGTTGGCTCTGCAAGGGTATGTTTAGCTTCGACTTGCCAAAAATAACTTTCCTCTTTTTCCTTTTTTTGATGGAAGCCTTAGATGCTGGTGCCAAATGTCAAAGTGGTAGCAAGACCAACACACCTACACACATATACGGCCAATACCAATACAAATATCAGCACCAATACTAACGCACAGATATGTGAACGTTGCTGGCATCTACATCGCCCGGGCATCCAAATTGCGCTAGCAAACAAATCACGTAGTCGGTATCCCAAGCGCCGTGCAAGACTTGTTGTCGTCATATCAAAAGGCAGAAGGCTGGTGGATTTTCGCGGTGCTGTATCTGAAAGGCTAAGGGCACAGAGCTCCACTTACCCATCCCATCCCAACCCATCAATTCCCCAAATCGACTGAGGAAGCTGCTAAGCCACCACAACGAAGCCATCAACATTGCCCTCCGCTTGTCTGGAAAATTCAGAGATTCGAGAACATTTTTTACAAGTCAAGTTTTGGTTTGAAAATAAGTTTTATACGTAAACTTTTCGGTTTGAAAAAATTAAGTTTTTTATTGCAACCTTAAGCGCACTGGCCAAATAAAGAACAATTCATTCATTAACAAACAAATTAATAGCTGAAATATTTTGCATTCTTAAAATTGTATACACACATTATGATCGTTATTTTGTATTTCAACTAAAAGTTTTGCGTATTTTTTCGAGTATACAATATTGTATTCTACAATAGATTTATGTTTCACTAATATGTTAACTCGATTTTATTTTAGCTGATTAGTGTTCACAAAGTTAAGAAAGTGTTCGTTTTTATCTATAAATTTGTTGATTATAAGCTATAATCGATTGAATCACCGAATATAAGAAGCAGACTACACATACATTGAACATAGGAACATTGAACCTTCAAATTTTAGGAAATTTGAAGGTCTTATAGATTTGTACTTATCGATGTAATAGATTTCGCAACCTCCAGTGCAATGAAGTAGAATCCAATGTTAAACAATTTGACACTAATTAATATGTATTTTCAACTTCAAAACAAAACAAATTTGCGTACATACTGATACTAATGGACAACTTTAAATATTAAATACATTATATACAAAGTTGAAAATTCAAAGTCTTTCTAATTACACGTAAATGTGCATTAAAAGTTTGCACAAGAACTTGCTGTGAAATCAATTACCAAAAGGAAAAACTCGACGACGCAATGATGCAACAAATTAAAACGCATGTAAAGAAGGCTAATGAAATGTTTGAAGGCAGAAACCGACCCTCACATACATCGACAGCTGCTGAGACGATGGAGAGCAGGTCCATGGAGCAAGTGGCAAGTGGCAGGGGCAGGTTGATTGCCAGAGTGGTAATTGAAGCACATAGAATTTTTGTGTCTGTATTTGCCAGGGGAGGAAATTACCAAAAATGTGCCGAGCGCCACACGAACAACAATAAAGTGAGCGAAAATTAAGGCAAGTGGAGTTAAAAGTTAAGCCAACAAATGAAGATGAGGCTGGAATAGGATAGAATAGGATAGGAAAGGATGTGATACTATGGCATACGGAGTTCTGTATGTAAAGCATATGCGTGTGTGTGTGTGTGTGTGCGTGATGTATGGCCTACAGCACACACACACACACACACACATACACTCAAACGGACAAACTGAACTCCGGCGCAATTTTACGCAACTACAAAAAGTTTAATTGAGGATAAACTTTTCTGCGTTTGCGCTGCTGTTCAAAATCAGCCAACGTCGACAGTGAATTGGATATATATATATATGTATACATATATGAAGGTAAGGGTAGGAGGAAGAGGGGTTGAAGATTGTAATGCATGTGTATATCGCTTATCTTTGCCGTTTAAGTTTTCGCTTTCCTCCACTAACAAGTTTTACTGTTCCCCAATCCTAATAAAAGGAATAACTTTAAGATTAAATTTTTGTGCACACATTCTAGAGACTATAATTCAAATAAAATTATTTGGACATTTATTGGCCATGGGGACGCGCTTCCCTCGCATTGTTGGCCAAAGTTAAATTACTGGCAAATATAGATGAAAGGTGCATGAGAAACGACCTGGACCTGAACTCCGGGTTGCAGTGCAGTCATTGCTCCATGCTCGATGCTCAATGCTCGATCTGACCCACACAATGGCAGATGTACCATAATTCATTTAGATGGATGCAAGTGCAAAGCGAAGGACAATGAAACACAAATGACCTGAATAAAACCGATGTGCCACAAGCGATTGGCTCTTTCAGGGTCTCTCATCCTCTCTTACCGGGCACAGTAACAAAAGAAAAAAAATAAGAGAGAACGTTGCAGTCGGTCGTAACCGACTGCGAAATACTTTGACTTTAACTACCATAAGTTATTCCAGTAGATAACCAGTAAAAAGGAACATGGAGGTATAGCCAAGAAGTACTGTCCAAGTTTGCCTTCCAAATTGCAGTAGATATCAAATAGTAACGTTTCTTCGAAGTTCGGTAACTATAGCTCTTAAATTGCGGGAGATACAGGATTTTATCGATTTTGTGGGCGGGAGTGAGCGTTGTCCAATTTTTTTTCCTTATTTTTAAAGGGTGTTACTAGCAATATGCCTTTCAGGTTTGGTGACTCAAGCTTGTGTAAGATAAATGGTTATCGATTTCCACTAACAGATGTATCGGTTTAGAGAGGCGGAGTAGGCGTAGCCATCCAATTTTTATCGAACTCTTAGGGGTGTTACCAGTATCATACTTTTGACATTTGGTGACCCTAGCTTACGAATTGTGGAAGATATGCGCATATTACATTTCTAGGGCCGAGGCTGCTGGCGGCAACGGGTGTGGGCGTGGTCTAAGAATGTATATGCTGATCCTTGGAGGAGGTCACCAGCAAGTTACCTTCCAAGTTTGGTCACTCTATCTTTGAAATTGTGGGAGATATGGGAGATCATTTACGGGTCGAACTCAAAAACTGCGACATAGGATATAACCATTTAAACTGTTCAATGGCGAGGGGCGTGGTGGCGTCGGAGGTGGTCGTGTCAAATTTAGGTGACTGTAGTCTTATAATTGTGAGATGTGTCGATTGCGAATATCGATTTTTATCGATTTCCTAGCCCCCTAGTGGACGTAGCACTATAATTTTTTGTCTGACGCGGGCACGGACCAGTAGTTGTTCCAAGTTTCAAGTGTCTATCTTTAAGGGTGTCGAAAATCGTTGGTTCATACGGACGGACAGATGGACAGACAGACAGACAGCATGACGGACATTGCACAAAACCAAAATATCAAGATACCAGAAATACAAGGATTCAATGATTTTGTAATACGCTTAGGCGTAGCCAAGTTTGTAAGACTGAGTTTCAAATGCTGCAAATTCAGTAAAAAAAAAACCTGGCATACTCTTCAAATGAGCATTACAGCGGTTTAGACAAACAATAGGACCATTTTTTACTTTTCATACCAAGTTGAACGCGTTTTATTAAAGGCTATCAGTCGTTGAACACCCACGCTGTTAATCCTTGCTGGACACAGCTCCTACCACAATGCGGGTGCTGCTGCATAGCTCAGCGGAGCTGATCCATAAGCCAAGGGGGCTGTGTATTTGGCAAATACAGGTGCCGCATACGGATGAGCAAGTGGAGCCGCCAACGGAGCAGCGAATGGCGCAGCAAAGGGAGCAGCTAGAGGAGCAGCAATTTGAGCAGCTAGAGGAGCTGCTACTCGAGCGGCGAATGGAGTAGCCAGAGGAGCGGCAACTGGTGCCACAGGTCGGAAAACTGGAGCAGCCAGAGGAGCAGCAATTGGTGCCACAGGTCTGATGAGTGGAGCTGCAACTGGTGCCACCGTTCTGATGAATGGAGCAGCAACTGGCACGGGAGCAGCGGCAATAACGGGTGCAGCTGCGATGCCATTGAACGTCCTGGCCACCACTTGGCTACTGGCAGCGGTAATCACAGGTGTAGGTGCTGCAAGGACGGCAGCTGGAGCAGCCAGCGGTGCATGCAGCAATCCTGGCTTGCCGGCAACGCAGGCAACCAGAGCGCAGAGGACAACAGCCTGTGAAGGATTACACGGAATACAATGATTAAGTATATCATCAGCAATGATGTTCAAACGAAATATTACTAACGTATTTAAACATGGTGAATTGATTTGTTGGTTGTTTGATTTGCTGAGTTGGTTGTTAGTTGCGGCTTTAGAGCAGACTGCGAACTGATGTCAAATTGAAGCCTTGCCACGCATATTTATACCCAAGAAGACAGCCCATTGCTGGGGCTACTTAAAATGCGCCCTGCGTGGCACTCGTTGTCCATTATAAGTGGCGGCAATTGGTTACAATTGGTAGTTAGCCATGTCTTTCGAGGGTCTCAGTGCTGCTGCCAAAACCCGAAGGGCAGCCAATTCCGATTGCCGCAGCTAATTACACAAAATTTGTTTGAAAATCAAAGTGCATGAAATTAAATTGAACGCTTTTGCTTGATTAGCAAGAATTTATATTACTTGTGGTCCATTATATCCACACTAGTAAGTGGATTTGTTAACTGACTGAATTAACAAACTATTAATTGAATGTAAATGACTAAATGACAGCCAACATTATACATATATGAAAATGTACATGTATACTCCAAATAAACTCGATTTCGTATATTACCAATTAAATTTGAATCCAATTTAAGTATACATATACATGTCGATTTATATATGTATGTATGTTAAAAAGTATATCACATATATTTTTCAACACTGCTCTTCAACTCTCCAGGCAGTGACCTGACTTCACCGAGTTCTATTCAGCTCACAGCAGTCGACCAATTAAACATTTTGAGCACGTACACAGGCCAAAGCGAACTAAAAATTATTGCTCGAACCCGGTCAGCAAAAACACACACACACCCACATGCAACCAAAGAAACTAACACACACACACACACACACACACAATGGACACTTTTGCTTGTTGACACAAAAATTATTTATTTTATTGGTATTCCTTCTTTTTGGGTCAAGGCTGAGCATTGCTTTAAGGCTAAGTGACTTTTTGGTAGCAAATGTAATATGTACATGAAGTTGGAAGCGTATTATTTTGAACTGATTTAACATTGAATATTATAAGTAATCGGAAATATAATATAATTATATTTTATTATTATATTATTAATTTTAATATAACGCACTTCTTAAAGCATATTGTGCAGACAATTTGCAAAGGCATCACCTCAAATCTTTAAAAAATAAATATTAAAATAGTTAAGTATTAAAAGTTAACTTTTCTTCTCAGCTTATATTGTTTTTGTATTATGAGAAAAACTCAAGCAACTATCACAAATTTACTCTAATTGATTGCTTGTATAAGCCGATCGTTTCCTGAAATATATGGCTATAAGGTAAATTTGAAAAGTTTAAGCAAATAAAAATAATCGATTAATCGATTGTAATGTGTGTGTCTGTTGTTAAGTCCCAGTGAGAAACTTAAAGCGAATCAAAGCATTTATGAATCAATGCACTTATTACAGTTACAATTCACTCAACGCTTTGTTTTGTCTGACTTGGCTCACTTTGCTCGCGCGCTCTGCATGCTAATTTCTGCTTTTCCGTTGTGCCGGTTTTCGGGTTTTGTTTTCATTTTCTATGGCGCGTCCGTCACGTTCGCTTCGAGTCGCTATAAAAATAAATCGAAATTGAAGACATGTCATCAAACACAGTTTCGCTTTTCAAGTGGCCACTCCAGAAAGCAATCAGACATCTCTCAACATGTTCAAATACGTTAGTTGTCGTCATTCTATTATTATTGCTCCTGCTTCTCCCAATGCTCACATCTCCACAACTCTCCGTACAGGTCGCTGTCATCTGCGCCCTGGTTGCCTGCACTGTCGCGAAGCCTGGACTTCTTCTGCAGACACCACTGGCTGCTCCAGCTGCCATCATTGCTGCTCCCGCTCCTCCACTGCTGACAGCCAGCAGTAGCCAGGTGGTGGCCAGAAACTATAACGGCATCGGCGTCGCGCCCGTAATTGCTTCTGCTCCACTCATCAGAGCCGTGGCCCCAGTTGCTGTTCCTCTGGCTGCGCCTCTCGTCGCCAAGTATGCTGCTTATCCGCTGGCAGCACCAATAGCTGCTCCACTCACTTCTCCAGTCTTTGCCCGATATGCAGCTGCTCCTCTCGCTGCTCCGCTTACCTATAATGCACCGCTGCAGCACCTGCACCACTTTTGATTTAAGAATTTACACTGTGATCCCATGTACATAAATACTGCACTAAATATTAAAAAAACTATTTTTAAATCAAATTTTTATTTAAAATTAAATATATTTCAAGCAACCGCACCACCCGGAGATTATTATCAACTGCCATAAGCTGGTAAACACCACGAATTCAGGGTGGGAACCTTGTTACACCATTCTCGCAACTCGCCCCACCACTCCGGTGGCCTGGTTTCTCCCGTCCAGCAGCGCGCTAATTTACAATAAGTTCTGTCTTATGGTGAATCGATGCAGCGATTTTCATTTGTCTCCTTCTTCGGTCTGCGAGCTCATTGTCTGCTCTTTTAAGAGCAACATTTAAATAAATTTGTAAATAAATAAAACTAGTGCGCTTATATTTATAAACAGCATACAATACATCTCACACCATTTTCTAACATTAATGACACCCCTCTGTAGGGCGCACAGATCACAGCTGTTGCTAGGGGTCAATAACATTGGCCGGAGTTAAGACTAATTTCGTGGGGCATGTTACAAAAACCAACCCAGCACATTACAAGTAATTGTAAGACTTATCACCTGTAATATGGGAAATGCAATATTTTAAGATATTTACTAGCCAATTTAAAAAGCAATTTTGACCTTCACATAACTACAACTTGCGTTCAAAACAAACTCAAACTTTCCTGTGGACACTTTAATGTCACGCGTCACGCACTGGTCAACAATTAAAACAGCAGCTGCCGGTGCTGACAAAAATGTTAATGGCCTGTGTGACTTGCACTACAATTGGCCAACGGTCGCCACAGTTGTTGAGCTGTATATGTGCTAGCTGTTAGTCCAATTAGGAGAGACCAAGTGCACCCAGAGATAAGTTAAGATTGGTTAAGCTACAATTTTGTGTTTTTATTAACAGTCAGTCCACAAGTTCTTATAGCAGAGCTGGAGCGTAGGAGAGAGGAGCCGCCAAGTGTGAGCTGTAAGCCAGAGGACCAGCCAAAGGAGCAGCAGCATACGAAGCGATCAGAGGAGCTGCCACTGCATACTTGGCAATCACGGGAGCAGCAACTGGAGCGATCACTGGAGCGTGGGCGATGCCATTGTAGTTACGGACAATCACCTGGCTACTGGTGGCAGTCACAAACGGAGCAGGAGCAGCAACGACTGCAGCGGGTGCAGCAGCTACAATCGGAGCACTATAGGCCAACTGTTGGCCAAGGAGAAGACCTGGCTTGGCAGCAGCGCAGGCGATGATGGCAAAGATAACAGCAGCCTGAAGACAAATAAGTCACTTTCAAATTGTGCTCAAGTATCAATAAAACAATATGTCAACTTACGAATTTGAACATTTTGGTTATTTGGGATATGCTTGCAGCTCGATGAGTTGAACTTGTTCGATGGCATTTAATAGTTTTTGCTGCGCTATTTATACAAAAAGGCGACTACGATGTTGACCTTAAGTCTGCATTTCTGAAATTTGTGGCTACCACGACGCGTTATACATAAAACAATGGGAAATAACATGCGGAGTGGGCCATGCGAAGTGATAACGGCTACAAAATGTTTAATGTTAACTGTGTTTACAAACTGCCAACGCATTTCAATGAACCCAATGACTCACAGTTGGATGAAGACTATTTTGGTGTTTTGTGGTATAAATACTCGCTGGCAACTGTAGTTGGACATCACATACATAGTTTGCAGCTAACCCTACAAGCAACACAAGCCACAAATCTTCAACATGTTCAAATACGTAAGAGCCAGAGAGGGAAAGTCCTTGTCGTGTGGCCTGCTTCTCTAACTTAACTGCCTCTGTTTTCATTTACAGACCATCGTTATCCTCGCTATCATCGCCTGCGCTGCTGCCAAGCCAGGTCTTCTCCTTGGTCAACAGTTGGCCTATACTGCGCCCGCTGCAGTTGTTGCTGCTCCTGCTCCGTTTGTGACTGCCACCAGTAGCCAGGTGATTGCCCGTAACTACAATGGCATCGCCCATGCTCCAGTGATCGCTCCAGTTGCTGCTCCCGTGATTGCCAAGTATGCGGCGGCTCCTTTGGCGGCTCCAGTTGCTGCTCCTGTCATTGCGAATTATGCTGCTTCTCCCTTGGCCTATAGCTCTCCTCTAGCTTACAGCTTGCCATCGCCTTACTCCGTCGGAGCTGCTCCAGTTCTGTTGTAAGATTATTGTGAAAGGATTAATAATGCAAATAAAAATCGATTTGAAATATATTACTTTTGGGCACACCAAAATGAATTAATGAACGTGCTCTGTGTGCAGATAATGTGCATAAGCATCCATTAGCTATTTACATTTAAATCACGTAGCATGGGAAATATTACCATCAGTGGCGGTTAGCGGTCCAATGGCTTAATAGTTTATTTTGAATATATTCGGAATAATGCAAGTGGGTCAAGGTCTCTAGGGCCACCCTGCGAAGGTATTGGCAGTTGAATGAACTCTTAAGCAACTAGCGATCATAAATACACATTTTCAGATTAATGAAAAGGCGATTCTAATATTTTTAACGACCACCTCTCTATTTTTTAATTTACATACGATTATTTTTTAATTGAAATTCAATTTGTTTGTTTCGTTTTAAGAAATAAAAAATGTTGGTGTAGTTATAACACTGTTTGCAAATCAGATTTACCAGATATCTTTTATTTCCACTCTCGGTAGAGGTCTGACCCCAATTCTAGAATAATGAGGAGCTCGCTTTATGCCCGAAAAGAGGATGTCACAGGTATTACAAATTATAATATAATAAAACTTTTGTCATTGTTGTGTGCTGTTGTGATTTCTAATTAGTAATTTTAGTAATGTGTGGTTATGTTTCTTGAAATAGAACTTTTACTTGACAAAGTGTTGCAAAAAGTTTAAAAGGCCAATAAATTTATAATAATCCGCAAATTGATGAATCACAAAATATTCTTTCCCCATATTCCAAAAGCAATTACCCTGCAATGTTCTTGCTGGGACAATGCTAAAATTTGCAGCAGCATAGAATATGCACAAAGTAGCCATTTATCAAAAACTATTAATAGATTTAAATGAAGATTCAAATTCACTAAATATCGAAGCAAACTAAGGACTATAAATTATGTTAAAAATTGGTGCCAATTTGCAGCAGAAAATGATTTAGGAAATAAACACGGGGTAGCCAGCAAAGTGTTTGTTTATGTTGGGTTTTTAAAGCGGCAGAAAGTGATGCACTAAGTTTGGCGGTTAGACTAAGAACAATTTATTCAATGTATTCTTAAGTAAAGGTATCGAGCGCAGTATCGATATCTTCTGTTATTAACATTAGTAATCGGAATGTTGTATTGATCTTTTACATATTTTCAACAGTTTAAAATGATGATAAATATCTGATTTGATTTAAATAATAAATATATGTTAAATAAAGTTGTACTATATGAGTGGTCCGAACCGAATTTGGTAAAATCATTGTGAGACTCTTAATACATAGAAAAACTAAATATGCAATTGTCATCTTATTTCTTAGACATTATGCTCAATATTAATTTTAAGCCATAGCCATAGTAAAATCTTAGAACAGACCTTAAAATTGTCACGTGTACTGAAGCCAAGTCAATGCAGGCTTCCCTCCTTTGGGAAGAAGCTGATATGCTGATTTGTGGACAAGCGCTTTTGTTATCGGATTCGGTCTGATTATTCTTTAGTAATGAGCATGACCACTCGCCCACATTAGGTTCTCTGCTAAAATTTTAATTCACTTCACCAACCACGTACGGACCATATCTAATATATATTGGTCTTGTTTAGTAAACTATATTGGTCTTGTGCAGTATCCGTCTGCTCTCTGTGTGTCTGTTCGTCTCTCCGTCCGTGTGAACGCATCTTTTATCGACACTCTTAGAGCCAGACACTTGCAACATTGAACATTTACTGGTCTGTGCCCGAGTCAGACAAAGTGTATAATTTTGAGTGCAATGTCCACCAGGAGGGTAGAATATCGATATAATCGATAATCGTAAATCGATAAAGCCACATATCTCCCACAATTTTGAAGATGGAGTCACCAAATTTGGAAGGTAACTTGCGTCAAATATCAGCATATACATTTTCAGACCACGGTCTCTTGGGGCCTAGAAATCTGAAATGCGCATATCTTCCAGAATTTGTAAGCTAGAGTCTTCAAGTTCCGAAAGTACGTTACTGGTAGCTTCCTTGAAAGATCGATAATAATAGTGACTGACCACGTCCACTCCGCCTCCCATAACCGACATACCTGATGGTGTAAATCGATAAATCCACTTATCTCACACAATTCGAAATACTGCAAGTAACACTCTTAAAATATCCGGATATGAAAAATTGGAACACGCTCACTTCGGACCACAAAAACTATAGAGGCCTATATCTCCCGTAATTTACAGCTGCATTTCGCAGTCGGCCACGCCCGATTACAACATTCTCTCCTTTTTTTTATTTAATTTGACACAGCAACCTATCGTCAAAATAAAATAAGCTTGACCTCAAGTTCCATTTTCAATGGGAACAGCGTTTGAAAGGAAAACGCACTAAATTACAATACAAATATCTTTATTTAATATTTTACTTGCAATCAAATCAAAAGTGGAGTGCTGTACGCCAACGGAGAGCTATAGGCCAAGGGAGAAGCAGCATAATTCGCAATGACAGGAGCAGCAACTGGAGCCGCCAAAGGAGCCGCCGCATACTTGGCAATCACGGGAGTAGCAACTGGAGCGATCACTGAAGCGTGGGCGATGCCATTGTAGTTACGGGCAATCACCTGGCTACTGGTGGCAGTCACAAACGGAGCAGGAGCAGCAACAACTGCAGCGGGCGCAGTATAGGCCAACTGTTGACCAAGGAGAAGACCTGGCTTGGCAGCAGCGTAGGCGATGATAGCGAGTATAACGATGGTCTGTAAATGAAAACAGAGGCAGTTAAGTTAGAGAAGCAGGCCACACGACAAGGACTTTCCCTCTCTGGCTCTTACGTATTTGAACATGTTGAAGATTTGTGTCTTGTGTTGCTTGTAGGGTTAGCTGCAAACTATGTATGTGATGTCCAACTACAGTTGCCAGCGAGTATTTATACCACAAAACACCAAAATAGTCTTCATCCAACTGTGAGTCATTGGGTTCATTGAAATGCGGTGGCAGTTTGTAAACACAGTTAACATTAAACATTTTGTAGCCGTTATCACTTCGCATGGCCCACTCCGCATGTTATTTCCCATTGTTTTATGTATAACGCGTCGTGGTAGCCACAAATTACAGAAATGCAGACTTAAGGTCAACATCGTAGTCGCCTTTTTGTATAAATAGCGCAGCAAAAACTATTAAATGCCATCGAACAAGTTCAACTCATCGAGCTGCAAGCATATCCCAAATAACCAAAATGTTCAAATTCGTAAGTTGACATATTGTTTTATTGATACTTGAGCACAATTTGAAAGTGACTTATTTGTCTTCAGGCTGCTGTTATCTTTGCCATCATCGCCTGCGCTGCTGCCAAGCCAGGTCTTCTCCTTGGCCAACAGTTGGCCTATAGTGCTCCGATTGTAGCTGCTGCACCCGCTGCAGTCGTTGCTGCTCCTGCTCCGTTTGTGACTGCCACCAGTAGCCAGGTAATTGCCCGTAACTACAATGGCATCGCCCATGCTCCAGTGATCGCTCCAGTTGCTGCTCCCGTGATTGCCAAGTATGCGGCGGCTCCTTTGGCGGCTCCAGTTGCTGCTCCTGTCATTGCGAATTATGCTGCTTCTCCCTTGGCCTATAGCTCGCCTTTGACGTACAGCACCTCCCTGAGATATGCTGCTGTGCCAGCACCACTTTTGATTTGATCGATTTGATTTGATTGTTATTAAACTATTATGTGACGAACAATGTTAATATAGCAAACTTTGACCTTTTAAAATCTGTGAAAATAATAAGCAAATGGAAAATTCTGGGCTTGTGCAACTGTATATGTCAGAGGAAATGAAGCATTTCGAATACACGCATACGATAAACGTCATACTAATTTGATGAGGGGTCTATTTAAACTTGTTTTACCAATCATATTACTGATCTGAAAAATAGACCCGTCAAATGAGGTAACCCTAGTGCTGTGCAAAGTGGATGGGGTGGTGAATTGATTTCCGCTAATTGAAGGGTGTTGACTAGCTGAAAATTGTTGGCTGGGGTCTAGCGGACTATGCGTGACCATACATTTTATTAGCAGATTTTAAAAACTAGATTATAAAAGTGTAAGATGCTCTGGCATTTACTGTAAGTATTACAAAAACCAAGAAAAAACTAAATTGGATAAAAATAGGATAACAGTGTCTTAAACATTGTAAAATAATAAATGCTTAAAATTTTGAAAATTAATCAATTTAGCTTTAAGACTGTGAAAAATTTATGTTTTAAGATTTTTTTTGCGTAGATTGGACGTTGAAAAATAATAGCAATCTTTGGAGGAGATTTTAAATAAATATCTTCCAAGTTTGCTAGCTTTAGCAAATAATTATTGAAGAAAAAAACATTTCCAATTTTTAGGAGCTGAATGACGTGCACGCGAGACGATCTTTGAAGAAAGTCAGCAATAGTGTACCATTCAAGTTCCGTAACTTTAGCTTTTGAATGATGAGTGACTTGTGGCTTTATCGGATTTCTACCTTTGATATCAGAGTTTAAAAACTGTCTGCCTACAATGGGACTTGAATCTATGATATTTTTTTAAGATCTAATAAAATGCACCCCAAAGTCAATAAAACCGTTAATGCTCGACATTTTTGAAGCTCAAAATGAACTGCGGCTATCTCTTTTAATAATCCACATTATAATATATACCTCCATCGCAAATTTGTATATCCGACAGTTGCAAAAGCTAAATTAAGTTTGGTAGATCCGTTCGGATAACACTCTTCCAGCACCAAAAACATTGTGGCAGGCGACTATTGACGGAGAAACATGTTTATTAAAGCACAACTGCAACTCTCCCGTCTATACTTCTTTTGATAAACAGCTCTCCCAACCTATTCCGTCAAAGGCTGAACTGGTCGCTCTCGTGGTTGATTTTTTTTTTCAAGGAATCGTCGTTGTTGTTGTTTACTTTCGTCGATGTAGTTGAGATTGTCCTTAGAAGCCACAAACCAACCCACTTACTTGTTTAATTTTATTATAAGTAATGACCCTGTGATATACATTGATATATTTGTGCTTAAAGATACTGCGCTTCATGGGTCTTCACTACAAGCGACTGACTTTTGCTGCTATATATCGACAATCTTAAACACCTCGAGGAACTTCACTCATAGCTTTACATTTTGACCTTGCATGTGCTGCACGGTGACTTACTCTGGCCACATCTGGAACAGTTGAAATTTAGCTTACATTCGAAGAATCACCACATTTAAAACATTTCCTTTCGGCTTTTGCATCTACGCTGGGTTGACTAACAAAATCGTCAGCATGTGGATCATGTTTGGTTGCAGGCTCAGTCATCAATCTGAGTCTCTAAATAAATTGCTTGCCTTGGAATCTGGAATACGGTTAATAAAATATTTTACCAAATTCTTTCAACGAATTCAACTAGTTTTGCTATATCCATCAAAGCATAGCAATATGCGTATGTTTCTTCTTCTTCTGAATTTTTAAATTTAATATTTATAGATCATTGGCTAGGGACACAGACCTTTGTGGCCCAAGTAAGCGATTCTTTTTTAGCAGACATAGCAACATGTAACTTTGTCCACTGTACTGTAAGTGCTATTCTATTCTAGCTCTTGAACTCACTGTTAAACATCAGGGTTGCTTGTTCCCAACAAATTTCACACACTGCTCTCGACATCTTTCAATGTAAACAAAGAACTATTTGGGGTATTATTATTATTAGGGGGGAAGCTGCACCACGACGTATTTGATCTATTGTGCCCCCTTCTGAGCCTATAGCTCTTCCATCAGCCCCAACTCCCTTACGAACGTGAGGATCTTTGTTGGGTTGAGGTCTACTATGTCTTTGCAATTCAAAACATGCGCCCCTAGGATGCTGCTTCTTCTTCTAATTACGGCGACACATTCTGCCAGGATGTGCATCGAGGACTCCTGCTCTCTTTCACAAAACCTGCAGAGATCGCTACTATATATACCCAATTTTGTCAGGTGACTCCTTAGTCTACAGTGTCCTGTGAATAGACCGGTAAGTATCCTAAGGCTGTTCTTCCCCATGGTTATAATCTGTTTAAAACGTACAAGATTATAACCACCAAGGAGACATCTGGCTTGTCGGAGTCCTACTGCCTCTGACCAGCTCTGATGCCGTCTCTGTCTCTCCTCGTTTCTAAGTTCCAGTCGTATAGTGTGTCTCCCTATGCCACAATACGGTTCTGGTCCTGTTAGGGGCCTTTCTGCCCCCATTCTTGCTTGCTTGTCAGCCGCCTCGTTTCCCGCTATGTCCCTGTGACCCGGGACCCATCGTAGGGTGAGCCTGTTGTGAGTCCCGAGCAGGTCTAGCTTAGAACGAACTTCATGGACTACCTTCGATGTTATCTTAGTCCCCATTATAGCTTTCAATGCTGCTTGACTATCGGATAGGATGGATATATCGGAGCTCCATTAAGGCTTCAAGGGCCATTGTTGGGCAGGTGCGCATAGCTTCTGTCATACATACGCAGGCCATTCTTTGCAACTTTTGTAGTTGTTTCTTCACGCATGCACCCCATAGGTTAACATGGGTCTTACTACCATCAGGTACAGCCATCTTAAAATCTGTGGTGATGTACCCCACTATTTGGGGTAACTACTGATGAGATTGATCATCCGAGTCAACCTCACCATACTGAATACCGAACTCTCTGCCAGCTGTAGGTAAACAGTATTAAAATATTTCTGACAGTATTGCACGCACTTCTGAAACTATGTCAACCGATGTTCATACCAATTGCAGTTTCTACAGATATCTGTACTGCAGGCCTCAAAGCTTCTTGCTGTTCTACAACTCGGTAGCTGCTCCTGCCTCAGAACCGTCTCTCTTATGAATTAAAATTCTCGCAGTTTTTATAACAGTTTGCTTCTGCTCTTTGTGCTTAAATATGTTTCAATCTGACCTTATACTTAATAATGAGTCCGTCTTCTAACTCCGACTGCAACCAACTGACTTTCTATGCACTTCAGATATCGATTCACTACTGATATCGCACCTGACTCGATTACTTACTCTCAAAAGTATCGGTGCAATTGTAACAAGTCAAATATATTATATCATCATTATCGGACCACTATATCGCTACCATGGGGACTATCTGTAGAAAGATGAGTTTTCAGTTGTGGGATCGAGATAGATGTAGATACAATATAACTACACAAATGTGAAATGTTCCATGAACAGCCAGATCAGCTTCAATAATTTCCTTAAGCGAAAAAAAATCCTAAAAAAAAAAAATTAAATTAAATTAAGTCAAACTCCGAACCAGAATTTCCATGTTATTTACTCTATATCTATAAGGGAATGTTATTTTTGGTGTGCCTAACCATTTTCAATATTGTTTCTAAAAGCCGAACAAATAAGGTGAGATATAATTAACAAGAAAATTAAATGTGAGTAAATTAAAAAACTGGAATGTCCTTTGTAATAATTCGCTCGTTGCTTAAGAGTTCATTCAACTGCCAATACCTTCGCAGGGTGGCCCTAGAGACCTTGACCCACTTGCATTATTCCGAATATATTCAAAATAAACTATTAAGCCATTGGACCGCTAACCGCCACTGATGGTAATATTCCCCATGCTACGTGATTTAAATGTAAATAGCTAATGGATGCTTATGCACATTATCTGCACACAGAGCACGTTCATTAATTCATTTTGGTGTGCCCAAAAGTAATATATTTCAAATCGATTTTTATTTGCATTATTAATCCTTTCACAATAATCTTACAACAGAACTGGAGCAGCTCCGACGGAGTAAGGCGATGGCAAGCTGTAAGCTAGAGGAGAGCTATAGGCCAAGGGAGAAGCAGCATAATTCGCAATGACAGGAGCAGCAACTGGAGCCGCCAAAGGAGCCGCCGCATACTTGGCAATCACGGGAGCAGCAACTGGAGCGATCACTGGAGCGTGGGCGATGCCATTGTAGTTACGGGCAATCACCTGGCTACTGGTGGCAGTCACAAACGGAGCAGGAGCAGCAACAACTGCAGCGGGCGCAGTATAGGCCAACTGTTGACCAAGGAGAAGACCTGGCTTGGCAGCAGCGCAGGCGATGATAGCGAGTATAACGATGGTCTGTAAATGAAAACAGAGGCAGTTAAGTTAGAGAAGCAGGCCACACGACAAGGACTTTCCCTCTCTGGCTCTTACGTATTTGAACATGTTGAAGATTTGTGTCTTGTGTTGCTTGTAGGGTTAGCTGCAAACTATGTATGTGATGTCCAACTACAGTTGCCAGCGAGTATTTATACCACAAAACACCAAAATAGTCTTCATCCAACTGTGAGTCATTGGGTTCATTGAAATGCGTTGGCAGTTTGTAAACACAGTTAACATTAAACATTTTGTAGCCGTTATCACTTCGCATGGCCCACTCCGCATGTTATTTCCCATTGTTTTATGTATAACGCGTCGTGGTAGCCACAAATTTCAGAAATGCAGACTTAAGGTCAACATCGTAGTCGCCTTTTTGTATAAATAGCGCAGCAAAAACTATTAAATGCCATCGAACAAGTTCAACTCATCGAGCTGCAAGCATATCCCAAATAACCAAAATGTTCAAATTCGTAAGTTGACATATTGTTTTATTGATACTTGAGCACAATTTGAAAGTGACTTAGTTGTCTTCAGGCTGCTGTTATCTTTGCCATCATCGCCTGCGCTGCTGCCAAGCCAGGTCTTCTCCTTGGCCAACAGTTGGCCTATAGTGCTCCGATTGTAGCTGCTGCACCCGCTGCAGTCGTTGCTGCTCCTGCTCCGTTTGTGACTGCCACCAGTAGCCAGGTGATTGCCCGTAACTACAATGGCATCGCCCACGCTCCAGTGATCGCTCCAGTTGCTGCTCCCGTGATTGCCAAGTATGCAGCTGTTCCAGTGGCAGCTCCTCTGATCGCTTCGTATGCTGCTGCTCCTTTGGCTAGTCCTCTGGCTTATCATGCTTCTCCTCTGACGTACACTTCACCGCTTCTGCTTTAATATTATGTCAGATCATGCTGCACTTGAATTCATATTGAATTAAAATTGAAAGACTTGGTATTCATTAAACTGCGTACAATTTATTTGATCTGTATCGCTTGTACAGACACACACATACACATTTTTATATACACGCACAGAGCTGCTGTCTTATCCTTTCGAATGGCTTTTGCAGATGGTTGTTTGTTAGTTTCGCGTATTTATCTAAAACGCTTTCATAGCGTATTTCATGCATTGATGCACACTTTAAAAAGCCATTTTTGCTTTCGTGCTTGCTTATAGACGATAAAAGCCTTTTGCAGATTCACGCGCTGGAAGGTCCTGGAATGTCCTTAGCATATGTTGTCGCACATGAGCTCATCGCCAGATGGGCACAATTTTTTGTGCAGGCCTTTCTCGTCGTTTCCAAGGTGCCTGTAATTTGATTAGTTGCAACTAGTGGAGTTACTTCTAATTACAAAAACCAAATAACATGACACCAGCTGCGTAATTTGATTTACCTTTCGAGGGCAACCACAACACATCACACACATGCATCCTACCACAAAATCGGAAAAACTGCGAACAGCGCTGGGTGAAAAACAGTGCGAGTTTTGCGACCTCGACCAAATAATTAAAAGTTTTCCTTCACCCATCTGTCCTCGCATTTTTACTATTTTGTTTGTCACTTGATATTGCTATTAATGGCAAAAACAAGCATGAGGCAGCAGTGCAAAGCGAATGCTAAACGGGGAAAATAACTACAGGAAAATTCGTTACTCTGCAGCTCGAAATGCTATGCGGATTTTGCATTAAAATACCTGATGCCCAACTCGGAAACTCCGAATAACTGCTGTACTCGTCCATCCCAACAAGCAGAGCATGGAGGACAGGCAGGCAGGACGAAAGCTTAGCCAAAAAGTAAATGTGTGTATGTACACTGCCTATTTGTAATCGTAATGTTAATTTCGCTTGTACAATAGAGAAAATTGTTAAATGATGTCAACGACATTTGTTTTAATATTCATCTTGGCACGCGACAACGTGAATATAATATATGACATAAGTACATCCAAACTCGTGTGAAGAGAGCAAACCATGAGTTAATTATTTCAACAGCTGATGTACATAGATACCTACATATAATATACTTGAAGCCCCGGGAGAGAAATAAAGGCTAATGGTGGCAGCCTTTTCATTTCCTTTATTTTATTTCACTTGTTAGCTTTGACTTTTCAGTTTTCAATATAAGTGTAGCTAAATAAAATGAAAAAAGAAATTAAACTCTCTCTCAAAGCTCCAATTGCGTATCCAAATCAATGAATTTTAATGAACTAGTTGAAGATTTCATAAGACTGACAATGATTCAGTTGGAAAGTGGATATGATTTGAGTCTAATGACCCAGTCAAGTTCTCCGCGTTCTTCGAACTTTGGCTGGCTTATCGTCCTTGCTATCGTTGTCTGTTTATCAGCTGGTCGCTAATTAGGCTAAACAAATTATGGAATATGATTAATAGAGGGTACGGGAAAGCAATTAACTTTTTGGGATAAACAGCTGCGAGTGGAATTAATGTGCTCTGGAATTGCAAGCCGAATTATTGCGACCCATCGGCTGGGAGCTCTGGTAATGCCAGGCAACGAGATACTTTACAAAGCCGACTACATTTTACAATTCACGTAGTGACATTTGCATTTTTGATTACTTCAATATTTACTGCATTGCGTTTTGGTTTATTTGTAGGTGTTGAATGTTTCTTATTTTTTTTTTGTTTTTTGGGCAGGGTAGTTTGTTGAAACGTGTCATGCAAATAAAAAGGTTGCCACACGGGGCTAAAGGTCAGTCAGGCCTTAAAAATTTCCCAGCCACTGTTTTGGGTTATTTCTTTATGCAAATCATGGGGGCGGCTTAGCCGTTGTCCACATTTGCATTTGCGGTGGGCGTGACAAGGTCTGATTATGTTGTTGTTGGTCAGGGCTGAATTTGCCGGTTTCGCTTGTGATTTATGTTGTCCACGGTGTCATTTGCTTAATTTGTTTGTCGCGCGTACACAGCAAAAAAGATTCAATCAAAAGTATTTTAAGACTGAATACAAAGGCCAAAAAAAAACCCAAGAAAACACAAAAACAACAAAGTTCAAGCAACCCCCCAGACGATGAGCCATGTATTATATTTCCAGGCAATTGTTAAAGCGCACCAAAACTTGCCAACAAAAAGGCTCCGCCATTTAAAAGTTTGGAGTCGGGGGCTGTGCTTTTAAGGGATGCGGTTTCGTGCTCAAGCAGCAAAACCTTATAAGAAATATTATAGAAATGGGAGCCACTCTCAAAACAACTCCCACACGCTATAGCTAAGACACGAGCGAGTGGGCGGCAGGATTCAAAATTCAGGACCCGACTCTGACGTGTTTGCTATTGCTTCTACTACGGCTGCAGTAGCAACGAGCCACACTTAACCTTGTCTGTATACGGCCGAGGACACGCCACTTAACTTATGAATTAAATTCCTGCGCTCGGCAAATGCTGAAGCCAAAGTACGACATATATTTTATGACCAGCACTCGCAACTCTAACCCAAAAAGCGTTGCGAGCTCGCTGCCTGCCAGCTGCCAAAGTTTGCGCTCTCAGAGCATGCGAGAGACGAGCTTTCTGTGCGAGTTTCCATTCAGCGCGCTCTTTGCAGCCAAAGCTCTTGAGGCGACTCTCTTTAATTTTGAATTCAAAGAGAATACAAGTTTTGAGCAAAATGTTTGTTGGGTTATCTTAGGGAACAGCTAACTCAGATCTAATATTCGAAGAGTGTGCAACTGCTTATTAATTTTATGATCTCAGATTACTACTAAAGTAGAGTGTTATATCATACTATTAAAAATTCGCCCTGAATTTTAAAGTTTGTTTAAAATTTAACCCATGTAAAATGGGTAAGAAGGGTATAATGGTTTTGTGTCAGAAGGAAGCATGTCCGGTACCATAAGGAAGAATATGTATATCTTGATCAGGATCAACAGCCGAGTCGATATAGCAATGTCTGCCTGTCCGTCGGTCTGTATGAACATGCGGATCTCAGAGACTATAACAGCTAAAGACTTCTAATTTGGAATATTTGTTCTCTTATACCATAGGCAGAAAAATATTTATTTATTTTTATAACTGATGTAATATATATAATCTACCGGAAATCCTTTTTCTTGAACATCGATACATTTCGATTTCCGGTAGCAATAAAAGCATCTTTTTAAAGGCCGAGACGTGTAATTAAAATATAACAAGCATATGCATATTACTGATCAACCGAAAAATTTTATAAAGATCGGATAAGAACCCCTTTTACCCTAGTTACCTACGATTTCGTGTACAGATGCTGGTATTTATGTAAACGTTTGTCGCAAGCCGGTGATTTTAGTACGGCCTTGTGAGTAAATCTATGCATTAGCTGTGTCTGCCAAAAGTCCTGCTTGCAGGGAGTGTGTAAAACTCCAAACTTATTAATCTGATTAGCCAGCGACTCCGATAATCCTTTTATTAACATGGCTATCAAATTAAACTGTAAACTCCTCTATGCTAACTTGGCTCGGAAATTGTATGTTAAGCATTTCCAAAAATTCTCTTGGACTTCACCGAGCATTGTCTTGATGAGCACTGATTACTGATCCATTCATTATCCAATTCTAAGAATTCACGAAACCATTATCCATTCATTAAGAATGCAAGAAACAAGTCACCCGTATATTTGTATAAGCTCTTACATATTAAATATATTTGTTAATTAGAGAGTTATGCAAAATATCTAGCTGCTTGATGATATCAATCAATTCCTAATTGGAATGATTCAGCTGCACTTTCTTTTGTATTGTTCCAAGTTCGCAGGCTTCTTCCGTATGAGTCTGATTTCAATCAGTTGCTTGTGCTTGGGATGGTCTCTCGACAGCGACAATGCTCATTTTCTGCAAAGCAATTTGGGCAACTCAAGTCAACAAGCCTTGCAGTTATTCCAAATGCAGATCTGCTGCCCTATCGTCCAATTGGTCCAGATTGTAATCTTTAATCGGCATAATGATTGTTAATCTACGGTCTCTAACAATTGCTTAGACGAGAGTACTTCATTTGTGGTATCACCAAGGAGGTGCACAGTTATCCAGTGTTGTCGTAGTAGAATGCACATTAGCGCTTTAGAATTTCAATTAAATTACATTCGAGTTATTTATTTTTCATTAAATTTGAAATTAATAATAATTTTCTACATTAAAGGTCTGAAGATAAACAGAAATATATTTTATGTTTATTATCTTCAATATCATTGTGAAAACTCAATACAAAAATGCATTAAAGCTGCATACAATGAATAATTATTATATTATGTTATAAGCAAAATAATCAATTTTGGGCAATCACATATTTAATACACCCGATCACAGTACTGAAGGAGCTTCAAGATTTTTAGCTTCAAGTTTACTTGCAGGAATTAGTTTTCACAAATACATCGCATAATATTTACGAAAATGTACTCATTGAAACTGTAAAGCCAGAGATGTTGGATAAAATTTGGATCTGCCCCCGTGTTGCAGATATAGAATATAAATAGTGCAGGTCATAAGATATGAGTTCACTTACGCACCTATTAGTGTGCAACATTTTAAAGGGAAATTCGGCAATAAGTCTTGAATACTTTGACAACTGTATTCAAGGCATATTGCAATCGAGCTCAATTTACTACAGCATTATTACATATTTGTCATTGCACCATATATTTTTAAAATACTTCTCAAGATGTTCTCGAAGCGGTTTTTTTTTTTTTTTTTTTTTGACATAAACAGATTTCATTAAAACCGGGTAAGCTCTATCTAAAATTAAGAACTTTTTTTCTCCGCCCTCACTCAGGACATTGTAAACTTGTCAGGGCTTTTAATTGTTACACTATTTCTTATGTGTCTGGTCCTAGGTAAATACGTGCTAGTAGTCAGGTTAAAACTTTTAAATTGAGCCGTAACAGTCAGCTATCATTTGAGATGTATCCTTTTTTTCTTTTGCTGGCCAGAAAGGATCTGTCTGGAAAAAGTTACAGTTATTGCAAAAGCACTCTGTCACTGCTCATTTGTTGCTAATAATTATAAAAGTTTACTCAATTCCCCAACTGGTACACACATATGTGCACATATTAGGTACATACGTATGTGCATGTATGTGTAAGTGTGCACCAAAAAAGTAGCAGACAGTCTGTCTGCAGGGAGGGTGTGTAACTTAACTGGCAAAAGTTTAGCGCCGTTCGCAATTGTTTAGTTTAGCTACATTTGCTGTTGATCAAAATGTGTGTAAAGTTATTAGTGTGGGTCTAACACAAACGACTGCCTCCGATTACACAGAACTGGGTACTCGGAACTGCAAACTGGAAACTGGGCAACTCAAATAGTTTTCTACAGCAGCAGCCTAAAAGCATGAGGTATTAAATTTTTATTTGCCAACCCATAACAATTGTGCGAGCTGAATGCTCTTTCAAGTAAGTCCGAAATGGTTCGCTAGTCATAAGTCATTTCGCTATTGGCCCACAGCCAGGCTCAGGTTCCGCAAGTTTTTGCAAACAAGTCCAACAAAGCCATCTCCAAATTGCCTTAAAAGCCTTTTCAAGTCAAATATAGAAACTATTTGCGCATAATTATTTAGTTGTTTTGAAGATGTCATTTAAAAGAGAAAAATGATAATATTAAAAATCCTGTTTAAAATTGGGAGCATTTGTAAAATGCAAAAGTTTTAAGGAATATATTGATTCGAATGATTTTATTAAACGAACATTCGCCTTTAAACAATTACTATTGGATCCCTACAAACTCTTCAGCAATGATGATACCAGTATTAATCGTACGAAAATAAATTGAAATGCACAATGACAAAATCCAGTTTGTACAAAATGCTCTTTAGCTCGTCACGATGAATTCGTGAATGAAGTGTAATAAGATTCACAATGTGCACATTGGTTATCAGCGAGAAAGTCGAGTATCTTCATGAGCTGACCTGAGAAACTCTTTTATGCATTCTTATTGGCTTCAGGTAAAATGATATGTTGAAAATTTGGATTATTTTGTAACAGTGTATTTAATTTGATTGATTAAATATATATTTTTTTAATAGGCTATCTCACCTAATTATGAGAATCTTAAACATCATCTGTTGGATATAATTAGACTTTCTCTTTAATAGACGATCTCATGCTCTAAAGCTATCCGCAATATTTTCATTTATAGTGACAGCTGCAATGCCGAACCCCATTAAAAATGTTAGAATTATCATGGCTGTGGAAGCGAATAGTTGAAAGACGCTGGCAAACTGCAGCACACGCCACAAACGCATGGTGGTAAGGCAGACAAGAAAGCCAAGCATGTTGCGGGTCCATTCATGCAGGCGGGTAGGCATACGGAAGTCGAGAAACTCGAGTTTGCTGGAGCTCTCGACCTTTGCAAGCAGCTGCGATACCATAAATTCCTGTACGCTTACTAGAATAATCACTGTGATGTTGAGCACAAAGATAATCAAATCCAACTTGGTCCACATGCTGCGCAGCTTGATCGGCTCATACCATACCACCATAACCAAAGCCTTGAAGAACTGTATGACCACAATTATATAGATGATCAGTACGATCAGGCCACCTTTTCCCAGCTGCGCAACGAAATGCAGTTTTGCACTGATTATCCTTGCGTTGGACAGAATAGTCCCAAAGGGCGTTTGTTCCACAAGTAAAGTGCATATGGTGAAGATATTCGCATCGGCATTGAAGAGAGTAAAATCCATGAAAACTGCCGTTGTCTTCCACGTAAGCCAATGCTTCTCCTGGAGGTATTCAATCACCCTCATACTATTATCATAGCTATTTGAGAGCAGTGTTACATAGCCCTCCATCTCCGGATAGCTCTGTAAATAACCGGGATAGTTATAGTTGAAAAAAAACTTATCGGTTCTACTGTAAGTCGGACTAATGGGCAGCCAGGGCTCATAGATGCGCCAATATTTGTCTGTGTATGATATTCGCTCATAAGGTAACTTCCATTTGGGCTTATAGTCGAGACTTGAAAACTCGACTGGTTTCCAGCCCGTGTGCGAATTTTCTTTTCTGCACAGCAGACGCAGTCGCACCACTCCCAACATGCTAGTGTGATCGCCATACAAAATATGAAGATTTCCTATGTTGGTGGCATTCGTTTCGAAGGCCTTCACAAGTGAGATCTCAATGAACGGATAGAGTTGATCGAGTCTATTCACATGTTTCAGTCCCATGGTGTACGTGTGGTTGTTCATAAAAAAGTCATTCAGTAGTAGCTATTGAAGTAGAGCATCTCGTCTTGGATCACCAGCACCAGGCACATCAGTAGGAATAAATACTTCCCATATAGCCACAGACCATGTGCAATATTTTGATTTCTCTACTTCTATACTTTCTGTAGCAAGATCAGTGTGCCCACAACATCTGTGAGTGTTCACAATTATGTTAATTTACATTCAATGCAATCGTGCATCTATATGCTCAACATTTGCTTAATGGATACCAATGCTGCTAACTAACAGAATTAGTTTAGCTGCGACAAACTTTGGTTGGTACACAACGCTGGTGGTACTTCTTTTTATTCTCCCATCCAGGCTTACCCTGACGCGGGGAATCTTCGCTCTAACAGTGAGAACTGGGCAGGCCAACACAACTCTTTGTGTATATTCAACACAGCACATGGGCTGCAGTGTGTTCAAGTCACAATGAATAACGGTTGTAGTGGTGTACCTATATGCACATTAATATTAACAAACAAAAAAAAAAAGCACTGGTAACGTTTTTTGGGACGCGACTGTAACAACGATCAGCCTGTAAGCACACATGTAAACAGCTGATCGACAATGATGCGTTGGCCGAACCATTCTCAGCCCTTTGTGACCTAATTAGCAACTCTAATCGGTGACTTAATTAGCAACTCTGACTCTGAGCATCTGTGCGTAGCGACGCCCACACAGTTGGTTACGGCCAATGCATTTCCTTTCTGCAATTGACGACGTGTGCAACAATATTCTTATTGAGAAAGAACTTGGCGGCATCGTCATATTAAAGCTCGTTTTATTGATATTAATTGAAATAAACCGATACTAAAAACGGTGAAAAGTGCGTCCCCACCAATATTGGATAAACATTGTGTAAATATATTATAAAAACCCGGCATAGCATATTATTTAAAAGATTTCCAGTTCGAGCGCGACCAGCGTATTGCTGCCGTTAAGAATTAACTTGCTGTTAATCTGTTGGGTGTGCAATACGGGGAATACATCAGTAGAGTGCTCACGTGCAGCGGTACCAGTCCTTTAAAGACGGGTCAGCGCCGAAGTCTCTGACTGGTACAAGTATCGGATCATATGTGAGCGGCGGTTGACCGAATCATCCTGAAGAAATAGTGACTGCACTGCAAAACTTCGATTTTTAGGACTGAACTCTACAGGGCTACACAACTCTACGTTTTATTAAACTTTAGTTTAAATTAACATAGAATGAGTTTGTGAGGAATTAATATTTAATTTTATAATGCATTAACTAAACTTGGTATGGTATGTATATGTGATATCAGCTGTTATATTGTCTAATCCGTTTTAAAGTTCAAACAGCAACGTCATCCGTCTTCAGGCCTACTAACACAGCTGTTTTGGTGCTTAAGTACGGCGTGACCGCACTCAGAGATTGTAAGTTATAAAGAAAATAACCAACTAATAATGACCATATAACAGATGTGGCATACAAAGACATATGTAAACAACAGCCTGATTTAGTTAACTCAAATTAAATATATATATATATATAGCCAAGGGCTTTTGTAGCATAAGTTTATTATTGAATATTATTAGATCCAAATTGAAGAAAAATAAATTGAATGAATTATTAGTAAATAAGTAACCTTCCCAAGCATTAAACTTGAAAACTAGTAATTAAGTAAAACTCCTAAAATTAATGTTAAAAATAATGGAACTAAAACCACCATTATGAAGTATATAAGGAATTAATTATGGATTAAAATAGTTTAATGGGCTCCTGAGATAAATATGGCTTTGCATCATTAATAGGGTAAAGGCACCGAATATTAGTATTTACAGGTTGGGCGGGTAAATGAAGAAGAACATCAACATCTCTGTTCTTCTGTTAGCTTTCTGTCTGGTTGTTTCATTCCGTTCCTTTAGCACTCTGTCTACTATTTTTTGGTTATGTGACACGGCAGCTTACTAGGTAGCAAAAGCACCCACCCCATTTTGCCTGAGCACAGTCAACTCTGTAGGCAGAGTACGCCTCCAGTTTGCTGCACACTTCAGCGTGTTCGTTACACGGTTAGATTTAGGAGTGGCGACTCATATATGACCATTGTCTTAAAGCGGCGACCGCCAGATGTTATACACCATATGCTAATGATTTGTTGCGGATCGGCTTGTTGCAGGAGTGGGTCCACCCCTGCCCGCTGACCGTACAATAACATGTCACTACTCAAAAATTAAAAAATTGTTAATGCCATAAACAAGCTCAGAACTTCCAAATAAAATCGATAAAATTGACCGGCTGTGTATTTTTGTACGAGTGCAAGACTAATAAAATCCCTTGTTAAAGTCACAAAAAAACCAGATAACCCCCCCTGTATGGTTATTTAGCTGCAGCAACCGGCGTTTAGCTCTCTTTGTGCAGCGCTCTCTTTCTCTCTCTCGAAAAAGGGCACTCGCTCATTTCAAATAACTCTAGCTGATCGATCGTTAGTTAATCTCGCTGTGAAAAGGTTTAGCAATTGGCTTCAAAACTCTAATAAACAAAGTGTTGTTGAAAAGACTAAGTCAGGCTTCTAGTCTGAATATATTAAATAAAGTGATTTTTGCTCGTGTATCGTTGTGATTAAACCATAAAGTGCGTTTAATAAACAATAATACAAATCAAGACAATATTAGTGATTCGAGTGATACTCAACTAAATAATAAGACAAGAGCAAAAGAAGTTCGCCAAATAATTGCCGCTTCGTGTGCCTCTGATTTTCTTTGAACTTTTGTGAACTTTTTTCGTGTACATAAGCAGCTGCGCGTGGGCGATTGAGCATATAGAGACCGTTTCTTTCTCGGTGAATTTGTTGTTGTTGGTTTACATTGTGCAGTTGGCAGAAATTTCGTGCGCGCGTTAAGCTTAAACATGAACACGACAACAGTCGCGTTCAATGATACTGTGCCTGCTCAAATTTCTTATTATAAGCGCAAGGCGGAATCAATTTATGCCGCGCTACAGAGGCTAGACGTGTTGTGCCCGGTGTCGATGAGAAGTTCGGTTAATTCGGTTCAAATTAAGTCAAACTTTGAACTTTAAAAAAAAATCGGAAGCCTCATTCAACGACAGTCTGGAACGTCTTGACTACAACGAAATAGGCAGTGATTTAAGCAGAAACTTTCTGAGACTGTTTAAAAAGGCAACTTGAACTGTTCGAATCGCGTCCCTTATCGTCAACATTTCGGCATGTTGAGTCGGAAGCTGAGCGGTCAGCTCCAATATACATATATTGATCGTTCTAATCGACCGAATTACCTGAGCTCAAGCTGCCTACATTTTTTGGTGGTTACACGGAATACGCTAATTTCATATCCATGTTTAACTCAATTATTGACACAGACACTCAGCTTAGTGACATTGAAAAGCTTCAGCACTTGCGGTCGTGTTTATCGGGCGTAGCTTTAGAATCAGTACGTTCGCTAGAAATATCAAGTGTAAATTATCGTGCGGCTTTGGACATTTTAAGCAAACGCTTTAACAACAAGCGATTAGTTTTCCAAGGTGGTAGATTCGACCTCAGTAGGGAAACTTCGAAAGTTTTCGTACAAGGTCAACTCCCATATGCGCGCGCTTGAGTCATTGGGAAGCTCCCAGGATATATCGGGCTATATGGTCATACACATGGTGCTCCAAAAAGTAGACGTCACTACTCAGAGTTGTTGGGTGGAGTCTGCACCGATGGACCAAATACCCTCAGCTCAAGAATTCTACACATTCTTGGAGAAGCGATGCCAGAAGTTAGAGAAACTGGAGCATGCAATGGGATATCATTCCCTTGCTTTTGTGGCATCCCAATCTAACAATTCTCCGTGCCCATTTTGTAACTGTGTCGGCCATACTATTTACTTACTGCGACACAAGGAAGTTAAGAAGTTGGCTCTTTGCTTTAATTGTTTAAAGTTCGGACACCATTCTCGGGCATGCAGCAGTGGACATTGTCATGTCTGTGGCAATAGGCATCATACCCTGCTGCACTTTGATGACAGCCTCTCCCAGCAGCCCGCCAATGGATCATCTGACTCTGCTCTCGTTGCGTCTTCGTCTTTCATTTTACCATCGGCTTCTGCTTCTCTTGCTGCACACGATGGATCATCAGAAGTCGTGCTACTGGCGACGGCTATCATTCTAGTGAAAAGTGGTTTGGGCCAATTTCTTCCATGCAGAACCTTACTGGATTCGGGCTCTCAACTGCATCTGGTCACCTCTCGTTCAACAGTTACAATTAAAAAAAACTCGATCTACAACTATAGTGTCCGGTCTTGGTGACACTAATGTTCGTACTGAAGGTCATACGGTGGAAATTTGCATCAAGTCTCAAGTATCGGACTATGCCGATTCACTTACCCACCATTACGGACAGTCAGCCCGGCATTGCAATTGACATACAAAATTAGAGCCAAAATACGACTATCTGATCCAACTTTTTACAAAGCTCAGCGTGTGAATTTGCTGTTTGGAGCCAGCATATACTACGACTTGCTGGCAGGATCATCAGCTGACGGGAGCAGCAGAAGCCACAACTGCTGACACGGAGCAGGCAATGCAGCCCATGGAATTGGATGCAGATGCACCATTGTTGACCATCAACAGTGGCAACACTGCTGCTCCAAACTCTGAAGTGAGCCCTACCAAAATGGACAAGTGTCCAGTGCTGAACGGAGCAGGTATTACAGGAGTAGCTGCAACTGCAACTGCAACAGTAGTTGGAGCAATCACAACACCTGCTCCAACAAATACAACAGTAGTGGGGGTGATGTATGACATCATTGCTGCCACAGGCCAAAAAGAGCAACACACGCAACTCGATCAATGAGGATGGACACACGCAGAGCCACAATGTGAGCATCATTGAGGATGATCTCTCCGATCTGGACTCGGAGATCACCAACCTAGAGGAGGACGAGGATAATCGCCTGAGTGCCGATGAGTTGCAAAAGAAGCTCGACAAGATTGTGGA